AAAACTTTCTAGATTTTCTTACGCCCTTCTTCAAATTAAACGAACTACCAACACACAGACAGCTTTGTCTACTTACTACGCGTATGCATACTCGTGGCTGCGATATGGCGTCATGCTATGGGGAAATAGCGTTAACAGCGGTGAACTATTCATAATGCAAAAGAAATGTATAAGAATCCTAGCCCAAATTAATAACACGGAGAGTTGTAAACTATTTTTTTTAAAATTTCAACTTTTAACTCTGCCTTCGATATATATACTCGACATATGCGTATTTGTGTTCAAAAATATTGATGCCTTTACAAAAGTAAAAGACACCCACACCATAAACACCCGGCACAAAAATAGGCTTTACCTTCCTCCGTCAAGAATAAAAATGTTGAACGAAAGCCCATACTATATGGCAGTTAAAATATTTAACAAGCTACCAGACGTTATTAAAAACGAAAGAAAACCACTACTTTTCCAAAAAAAAAAAAACTTTATCTCACACAAAAATGTTTCTACTCAGTCAAAGAATATTTGGAACCTTTTTTTTTTTTTTTAACGTGTGGAAATCCCCTCGGACCGTCACCCCACCGGGATTTGCGGCGGGGTGGTGTGTCGGACTCGGACCGACTAAAACCACATGGTGTGCCACTTTGCGCCTGTAACAGGAGGGATCCGGGAACAGCTGTTGTTAAGACATCCGGACCCCTCCTAGCGCCAGCCCGCTCCTGGTGCGGGCTCCGTCTCAATACATTTTCCTCTCTTTAGGCGACGTCCGGCACACGCGGACGCCGCCCCCTCGCGGCTGGCCAACTAATGCGGGTGGAGGGGAAACCCACCCCGTCCACCCGCGGCCACACTCAGGGCGGCATGAGGCTGTGGTAGGCGGGCCTCCGCCGCCCGGTTCGCCGGCGGCGGATCGGGTCCGAGTGGAGGTCGTCCTCCCGGGCCCTCTCCGCCGCCTCCTTCCGCGAGATTACTACCTCGCAGAAGGTTGCGACCGCGGTAAAACAACTGTCGCTACCGGCCATGGAGCGTACTACGGCCGGTAGCGAGAGATCCACTCCGATGACTGCAGTGAGGGCCCGGCGCTGCGTCGCCCATGCGGGGCAGACCGCTAGCGTGTGCTGGGCCGAGTCCTCACTGCAGTCGCAGTGGTGGCAGGCGGGACTCAGTTCCCTCCTAGCGACCGAGTGCAGGTACTTTCCGAAGCAACCGTGCCCGGAAAGCACCTGCGTCAGCCGGAAGGAAAGGGTCCCGTGCTGCCGCCCTGCCCACTCGGCGATGACCGGCTGGAGAGCCTCCACGGCGGCGAAGCCAGCGCGTGGAGTCTCCAGCCGGAACGACCAACGAGCCATCGTGGCTCGGCGAGCGGCTTCGCGCCACTCTATACAAATATTTACTATTTTTATATCACTTAATTTCAATTTTAATATACAATATAATATAATTACTTTAATTCATAATAATATTCAAAGCTGACATGATTTTATTGACAAATCTTTATTTATTGTCTCACTTATTCTATAAATTTGTGCATATGGTATAGAAGAACTTTTTAATAATAAAATTGACCTAGTATGGACTGTGAGCTGCTAGTGCAGACACCTTTTGCACACCATTGTCATGGTAGAATGTACTGAACCAGTATTGTAATTATTGACATCTGTTGTTCTACATTCTGCAAATAAATGAATTTGAATGTGAAAAAATTTAAATTTGAATTTGAATATTTTTTACTAATTTCCCTATAACCAAGTCTAGTTTCGCTTTGCAAGTATTAAAAAAATTGGCCCTCGATCCAGATGCTTACGTACCAAAATATATAGCATTATATTTATTTATATAGCGTTATATAGCATCGCAAAACAATATCCATCATAATCCCCTCAATAACGGAAATGTTTGCGTTTGAAACTACTCTACGTAGGTACAGGCGTCTGTTTGAAACCGCCCTTACACGTCGCTCCCTCAGTTCAGCTCGAGACATCTACACGACTACACGTCTGTGGTGGCGCGTCACTCGCTCTCAGCGTAAATTTTTAATACCAAGCCAAATAGCGAAGGCGTAAAGTCAAAACTTCTTTTGATATCCAAAACGTTTATAATAAATACGTGCAGTGGTTGTGCTAACAAATGGATGTTAATTATAAATGTGAACTGCTGGGCACGGCTTTTTTCTAGTGTTCTATAAGTTTTTTGAAGTGAACGCTTGTAGAAACGCTTGGGCGGTCGTCCTGAAGATTTTTTCGAGAGGTAAGTGATAATGAGAATTGCCAATTAAAGATCTGGTATATAAGAAAACTTGGAAACTACCTATAACTTAAAAAAATATATAGATTTAAATATGTATAATAAATAATTCTCAAGTTTCTTATGATATTTAACCTAATACCAACCTGTTTTCTCATCTGTCAAAGTTCTGTAATATTTAGGGGAGTAATTTTATAAAATTATTACACAATTTTGATTAATTTATACATTACTTTTTTCACTTATTAAATATGCCCTTAAATATCAGTTTAAATATTTTTTGACTGGTAAAGGATCGTGCACTATATGTATAAATCACATGTCGTTTCCTTTACTGACAATGTTACGCTGTTTCAGTTTCACGTATGTTACTTGAATTACCTACGAATGGCTTTTTGTGATACTTAACGACGACTCGGCCTTTGAACGTGGCTTTTTGCTACTGTTGTTTTTAACTTGCGTTTAATGTAGGTACTCTGTTAATACTAGTTCAATATTATAGGCACTGGTGGCTACTACACAAGGTACATATTTTAAAGTGATAAAACTTTGTCACTGTAAAAAAATGTACCTGACTTGGTTAGGGCCGACAGCACAAGGTAACGAGAATCCGTAGTTAAATGTCCATACTATGTCAAAAATTTACCAAACTACTCATAGTATTTAGATCTAGGTCTAAGATCTATTATTTTACACTAGATACACGTAATTACGGCCCAAAAGCATTGCCACTGTACATTTGTCCACAGACATATACACAGCAAACGTCACTTCAGTGTTCAATGTGGCGCCGATCGAGTTGAACATAGCGACACGTGACAATAACAATCTCCAAAAAGGGTAAATGCGTAGTGATAGAATGCGATTCGAGGCCACAAAACTATAATAAATCAAGCATTATTACTTTTCATACGTAAATATATTGTTTATGTATTGATATTGACGTAAATAACGCTATAATCCAAATGAAAAATTCATCATTGTTATTTATATACAGTGTTACCACTAAAAATCGTTTTGGTTTTCCCACGTTAGTGGGAGAATTTGTAATTTTTGAAAAAAAAACTGTACTATGTTTTTAAGTATTTTGGCAATAATAATAATAATTTACAGTTGATAAGATTTGACCGATCTCCTTTTTTAGCGACCAGCGTTCACCTGCATCCAAGCTCGCAGCATTAAAACCTTTCATACAAAAGAATTAATTTAATTTATTAGTCATGCCTATTCCGTTCCATAAAGATTTTAAAAATAATTCATTAATTTATTTATTTAATTACAAAAAAAAGTCATAATAATGTCACATTATTACTAGCTGTCCCGGCAAACGTTGTTTTGCCAAAAAAAAATTAGGGGTGGGTACCCTTGTCATTTAGGGGTATGAAAAATAGATGTTGGCCGATTCTCAGACCTACCCGATGTGCACACAAAATTTCATAAAAATCGGTCAAGCAGTTTCGGAGGAATATGGCAACTAACATTGTGACACGAGAATTTTATACGAGTGATGAGCATTAAATGACCTAAGGTCTATTTTGCTTCACATCTTAGTTATACATTAGTGGTTTAATGACAAATGAAAAATTTAAATGCTTTCATTGATATAACCTATATAAAAATAATTACGATGTGAAGTCTGGCGTACATTTCTGTATCGTTCATTTCAGGTATTTGAATGTTGTTAAATGAGTGTCGTGGGTTCGATCCCCACATGGGACAACACTTTGTGTGGTCCACAAATTGTTTTTCGAGTCTGGGTGTTCTTTGTGTTCGTTTTATGTACGTTTGTAAAGTCTTAGAAATTTTAGATTTCTTCGTTTCTTGATTTGAAAATCTATTCCTTGTAATCAAGAAACAGATATGCATTTAGTATCCTATTCCTTCCTCATATAGTTGGGAGGTTAGATAGGAATTAGAGGTTAGTTTTCACAGCTACAGCCGGTAGAGTTATAAGTTTAGAACCTAATCTGATCGAGTTCTTTTTAACGGGACTAATCCCTCCCACACGCCCACTTAACTAGTAACTTCTGTACACCGGAACTCACGAACACATCGAGGTTTGACACTCGCGAACTTCCATTAAAAATTAAACTGTCTCGGAACCCGCAACGAAATTAATCGTAATAAAATGGAAGGATTTGGAGATATGATAAATCCACTTCTCTCCTTAGCAAAGTGGGAGATAAATGAAGTAAAAATAGTTAATGTTAAGAATGTTTATATTTCCCTATAAGTACTTTTTCAATTGTTTTCCTTTTTACCTGCCCTTCACTTTATTCCGAACTTTCCTCTCTCTAATTCCCAAAAAGCCCAAGTTTACGTCAAAACACCTCTATTACGTCATGAAAACACTGTTTTAAATGTATGTAGATTCTTCTATTTTATTGAACATATATTGATATACGGCTATAATTTAACAAATCATCATATATTCATGAAAAATTACTTGCCTAACAACAAGTTAGTAAAACATTTTAGTTATTCCGTCGGGCTACATCAAGGTCAAATAAAATCGTTTGAATACATGCGTAGTCTACTGGACACTAACGCTGTCAAACACCATATTTTGTATTTGGATATTTGTATAAAAATGACCTGTTTTAGAATATTTACATTCAATTAAGGCAGCAATCAAGGTGTAACTTCAGAACGAAGCTATGTGAACTATAGTCGTCTTGAATATAGAACCTAAATTAACTTTTGCGCTACTGTTCTTGTTGGCAGATTTTAATATTCTTTCTACCCAGTTAAAGTTATTATTATCGGTACTGAACAAGAAACTGCATAAAGCAAACGTTCACTCGTCCAACAGTTTTCTTGCCAATGATCAGGTCGTCGCGTATCTTGGTATATAATTCCCTGTGTTCCTCTGAATCTTTCTTCTGTATCTTTATTTGGTTATCAGTGCTGACATCAATCCGTATTATGATGTAAAATGCATCTGGTAACACATACAATAACATTAAATACTTACTGTAACACACTTCTTTTTTTTCTAAAAGGTCTACTTGCAACCGAAATTCCTAGTTTTCCCGTTAACCCCTCCCGCTAACCTTAATTGCTTGTGTTAGGAGTGAGTTCACGTCGGTAGTGAACTGGTCAGGATTTGAACCCCGGTCCTCTTGATCGCAAGTCCAACGCCTTAACCACTAGGCTACCGCTGCTTAACATCAAACTTTTGTAGAAAATCATTCCCGTCTCGGAAATTGTAAAAATTGAAAAATAATTATTTTAGTAGACAATTACACCCGTAAAAAAGGACTTCAATGAAAAAGGAAATTTGAGCAAAACACTACAAATTAATAATAAATTAAGTTGATCCTATCGTAAAAATTTGGACAAAGAATTTTCTTGAACTGAATGTGTTACATAGATTTCACGATTTGTTTACGACTTGTTAAATTGTGCTTAGAGTTGAAAAATTAAAAAAAAAGTCATTACTGTAGTCTGAGTTTTGTAATTGTAATAGTGTGTAGTTTATTTTTAGTAAAATGAGTAAAGATATAAGCTGTTTAGTGTACACTGTAATGCTTATATTTAATAAATAAAGAATTGAATTAGATTTAAATTTCAAACAGTAATAGACTTTTTTTTCATATTCGCGATCTTTTAAATTTGTCGTATGATTGACGCCCGTTAGACAAAATGAGTATTGAAGTGTAAATTGTAAATCGATAAACGTAAGGTAGGGTCACTGCGCCGGTTAGCGGCCAGTTAGCTGCTCGCTTCAGACGAGTAAAAGAAAATGTTATCTACACGCAATATAGTATGTGTTAGGTTAAAAAAAAGTGAAAAAGTGCAAATATAGCCCAAACCTCGGTTACCACGACCATCTTTCATCAGTTTATGACCACCAGTGAGCTGGTTTGCGACCACTAAAATAATCATAATTGATATTAAAATGTTTAATATTGGCTTTCAGTCATCAAAAATGATATGGTAATTTTTTTTTGTAAATGCTGCTTCTAGAAATGCTATTATCTTGACTTAAATGAACTTAGTCCGTCAAATGGTCGCCTACTGAAAGTGGTCGATTATTTCGGCTAGACAAACGGCCACAAAAATGTAATTGAGATACGAACGATAGAAGACAAAGCTATGTCACATATTGTTGCAAATTTATGTGTAGTAGTCTTTCTATAGGCTAAAAGATTTACGTCTACTTTCGATCTTACTAAAGTTTACGTCATATACTCCAAGGAGGGATAAGATACTGTCGTAAACAAACCTAAAGGATACTTAACTCTTCTAACCTTGACGGGCCTGTTGGTCTAGTAGTCGAACCCACAACCTCCGGATTAATAGACAGTATCACTATACTGACTGCTAAGCCGGAGGTTGTGGACTGTGGGATTCCTATACAGGACATATATGGAGTGATGACCGTATCTGGCTGTGATGTATGTAGTTAGAAATATATAAGTACGAGTATATCAGCAGAGTGTATATCAGCAGTCTGGTTACCATAGTGAAGGCTCTGAATAGTTTGGGATCTCACTGCTGTGTGTGATATGTGTGAAGTTATTATTATTTATTTCGTGAATACGAGTATACTGATGTCATTTGCGTGTTTTGAATAGTAAAAACAGTTATTTTATTACATTATGAGTCGCTACAGACGTTTGGTACTATATTTTTAACCGCTGTCAATGTGTCACTTTCTATTTTTGGACTTCACGATTCGGTGTGCATCAAATGTGCTTTCAAAATAGTCTCCGTGCATTGAAAGAAATAAGTTGACTGTACGGATTTATAGTATGTAATATTACTAATATTATACTGCTTTGTTATACAGCAAAACATTTAAAACAGTAACAAGAAAGCAACGGTGACGTACTCAATATATTATTTAATGACAAATGTACCGCGATCATTAATAAAAACCACGTTTTAAAAAGAAACAAGTTATTTGACTTAACTAACGAAATAACTAAAAATGGTTATGTCGTTGCGTTGTATATACCAGCGGTATGTAATGTTCATGATAACATGGACATTTACTTATTAATTGAGTGAACCTACAAATGTAATTTATCATATCTTTTTTTATATTTACACTGCAGGCCAAAAGTTTAAGTTTAATTATTGACCAATGGGAAACGAAAGTAAAGCAATTAGTTATTAGCACATCATAAAAATATTATTACGACTCTACCATCTGGCTCTAACGCAGCATTTGTCGGTTTTTGAAAACAATACATGTTTATTGTCCAATAACTTGAAAGTAAATAAAAGAATGACTTCTTTACATATTCGATATTAACAGTAGAATATGCAGGTGTACATTTCTTTTATTTATCTTATGAGATTTCGTTACAATTGATAGATAATTATGTTGTTTAAATGCGGTCTTAAACTTTTGTACGCCATTTAGCTGTATGGGAGAAGCCCAAAATCGCCAAAATCTAAGTGGCGTGCAATGGGAGCTGCCTAAGTCCAGCAGTGGCCTGCGATAGGCTGATGATGATGATATCATTAGTTTTGTTATGACAATAATTTTTGTAACGTAAAATGTACTTGTAGTTTGACCATTGTTTTGGGTGTGAAAATTGTTAGGCAATCATAAGTAAATAATTCAAAATTTCAGGCTAAACGAAAACTAACTAATAAACTAAAATTTAACACAAGAATTGCAGAAACCTGGTAACAGATCTACTGAAACAGGACCGCACATGCAGAACTGTGTCTAATTCAGTACACAATTAGGTAACTGCGTCTTCTAAATGAAAGCTACGTCCTAAAATAGCTAAACTGACGAAACACGAAGTCACATAGCTGAGGTAATAAGATGCAGTCTTTATGTTTATGTTCATGGTTTACTAACTTCACACATAGTATTAGGAACAATATTGCTTTTATAAACCCACTTTAGGTTTATGAATTTTAAACAGTTTCCTTAAAACATCTATTAAGTATATGGTACAGGTAATTTAAGATCTGTCGTTTACCGGAATTTGAATTGAACCTTGAAGATGGAATGTTAAGGGAAATAAATATGAATATAAAATAAATATTATATAAATAATATTTGACACAATAATGATGTAATCCGACCGATTTCGGCCATGGCGACCACTTCAACCCCTTATAGGACCTGGCGCTGATGCGCCCGGAGATGGCTTATATAGCCGATTGTCGCAGCAAACTCCCTTGCACAGAGTGTTCAGGTGAGCTTGCCGCTCTCATAATTATAGTGAATGGCGGCGAGTGGACGGGCTTTGAGCTCATCGCGCTTGGCATCGAGGTCAGCTAAACGCTGTTCCTCGAATTCGCGGTTTCGCTTCTTCGTAATCTCGCGCCATTCCGGTCGCTGTGCTTCCAAACACTCCCAGCGAGAGGACTCTATGTTGCATTTTTTCATGTGACGCTTCAGAATATCCTTATATCTGAGGAGTTGTCCACCATGCTTTCGCTTGCCCTCCTCTAGCTCAGAGTAAAAGATTCGTTTCACCACTCTCTCCTCCGCCATTCGTGATATGTGACCACACCACCGGAGTTGTCGACGCATCAAGTATGCTTCAATGCCACCAACATTGGCGCGTCTTAGAACTTCGGTATTGCGCACCCGATCGGACCATCTGATCTTCATGATGGTGCGCAGGCATTTTAGGTGGAATCGGTCGAGAGTGCGTATATGGTGACGATACACACACCAGGTTTCGGAAGAGTAGAGAAGGTTTGGCAGCACGATCGCCATATAAATCGAGATTTTAGTAGCCAACTTGAGATCGTGCGAGCAGAAGACCTTGGAACACAGCTTTCCAAATGCTGCAGCTACAGCACTTAACCTGCAGTTGATCTCGGCATCAAGGTCACACTTAGGTGTTATAGTGTTCCCCAGATAACGAAATTTATCGACCTGTTTCAGCACGTCCTCACCAAGCTTAATGGTCAGTGTCTCACGACCATGGATGTCTAAGGACATCACTTCCGTCTTTTTGACACTGATATAATAATGTATAAGAATATTAATATAAGTATCAAAATGTACAAATGTACAAAAAAGTCCTACATTGTGTTTTAAAAATTTAAAATGCATAAAAAAATATCTCGACTTGCTTTATGTATCTATTTTCTAAATATATAACGATAGTTATTTCACAGATAGACTAAGAACTCGTGTATTTTTAACTAATAAGTACAACACGTGTGCTTTTTGAACGATCCGTGCACAGACAAATGGATACATCTTGAAAATGGTAGAAATTGTTATCCTTTAACACCACTGTTAACGCGATGGAGGACTACTGTTCACACCCTCTGCCTCATCTAGGGGACTTAAGATATTAAGTCAAGTAAGTCAATACACTGTTCCTTTTTGACATTATTTGAAATAACACAAATGAAAAACCAGCAGATTTCTTATATTTAAGACTTCTTTTGAAAATCCTACTAGTAAGAACCTTAATATCTTGAACGAATATGTACTGCTGGTTTGCCTACTGAATATACCAACATGTAATCATTATCAGTACTCCTAAATCTAAAGAAACACAAAAGAAATACTGGATTGAAAGAGTCATAATATTTTTTATATGAATAGATAATTTTTATTGTTTAATTTGCTAATTTTATTTCAATAAGTATTCTCTAAAAAGTAGTTTCCTATTCTGTGAGCCAGCGTCACTGTATTGAATAGTTTTTAGGAAAGTTTATATAGTCTACTATTAGAGATACCTTGAAAAGAAAATCTAGAAAGTTCATAGTAAATGGCTCTTCTAAGAATGATGTATCATGACTGAAGTTCGCTCAACACAATTCTTTAGAATAGAATAATTTATTTGCAAAAAAATGTAGTACATTTATATACATGAAGTACTAAATCACATCACAATATAAATCAAATTATATATTTAAAATATTATAAAATTTAAAAATGAGGACGCGTAACTTAATTATCTTAATTTCAACAATCATTTGTTTTATAAAATATTTAAATAATCATTATATTTTTTTGTAAAGACAAACCGTATAATTTCAAGAAATTACACTAAGCCATTCTTTAAAGGCGCTTAATCCCTTTAAATTGTAACTTTTGTCAAACCACAGCAATTTCCTAACAATGTATTAAATTTTTCTCGTCAGCCGTGCGTAGCAGGAACCACTGTTTTTTACTGGTACTACAAGCTAATTAAGTTACGTACCTTCCTTCTAGTAATTTATTTTGTTTTGTTTCACTTAAGCTCGGATCTGTTTTGCTGTAGATGTTTTGTGGAATTTCCTAAATTTAATTATAAAAGCATTAATTTTGCATAATGGTTGGTAAGTTTTATGAAATAAATACGATCATGTTTTGGTGTCGGAAAGTCTCTAATAGACAATATCAAAGAAGAATTTGAGTGGATAATATATCAACGCACAGCCATTTTTCCTTTTGTATTCTTGGGTTCTTTATACTGCTTGGACTCATGTCAAGAAAATTTTAGATTTAAAATTATGTTAAAGGTACCAGCAGAGTATAGGTTATTTACCTGAAAGGATTTTTAGAAAGTCGTGTCCCTAAAAGTTTGTTAATGAAAAACTTTTAGTGTTATCAATCACCGATATCGGTGATTGATACCACTAAAGATAGTAAATAAAAATAAATCTAATATATATTTTTTTTAATATTATAAACATTTAATTGTTTATAATTAAATGTATCACATCATCACATCAACAGCCTTTTATAGTCCACAGCTGGTCCACGCTGGTCAAACGGGTTGGGGGTGAGGAGGACCGGCTTCATGAGGAGTACCGACAGGCGCGGAAAACTCTGAAGCTGGCCACTAGCCGCGCCAAGGAAGAAAAGAGAGAGGAGATGCTGGAGGAGCTTGATCGTGACCGCTCGGGTCGCCCTTACCGCGCGGCGCGACAAAAGCTCCGCGCGTCGGGCCCCCCCTTACGGA